CTTTAAGTAGGTGAACGGATGGACTAACTGTGGTCCAGCCCAGGCCACGGAATATTATACAGCGCTAAAAAGTGAGCTGTACCGCGTCATGAAAAGACATGGAGGAAACTTAAATGCACGGTGCTAAGTGAAAGAAGCCATCATACTGTATGATTCCAACTGTACGACATTCTGGAGAAGGCAAAACTGTAGGAGACAGGGAGAGGATCAGTGGTTGCGAGTGGGGAGGGAGGAGTGAAGGAGCAGAGCACAGAGGACTTTTAGGGCCGCAAAATTACTGTGTACGGTGCTGCCTTACGCCATTACACCGTTGTCCAAACCCATAGATTATATAACACCAAGAGTGAACTTGATTAAAACTACGGACTTTGGGGGTGCCTGGGTGGCTCAGTGGGTTAAGCCTCTGCCTTCGGCTCAGGTCATGGTCTCAGGGTCCTGGGATCGAGTCCCGCATCGGGCTCTCTGCTCAGCGAGGGGCCTGCTTCCCCCTCTCTCTCTGCCTGCCTTTCTGCCTACTTGTGATCTCTCTCTCTGTGTCTAATAAATAAATAAAATCTTAAAAAAAAAAAAAAACTACAGACTTTGAGTGACATCATGTGTCCATGTGGTTTCACCAGCTGAAACCACGTACTGCTCTGGTGGGGTCCTCGTTCGCGGGGAAGGTTATGTGTGTGTGTATGGGCCGAAAGTATAAGGGAAACCTCTACACCTTCTACTCAATGTCTTTAAGTGTATTTTTAACTTTTTTAAGATTTTATTTATTTATTTGAAAGAGAACAAGCAGGGGCAGGGGCAGAGGGAGAAGCAGACTCTCGGCTGAGCAGGGAGCCCCAACACGGGGCTGGATCCCAGGACCCTCAGATCGTGACCTGAGCTGAAGGCAGACGCTCAACCCACTGAGCCACCCAGGTATCCCTTTAAATTATCTATCTCTCTATCTATTTATAGCAAGCTCCATGCCCAGTGTGAACTTGAACTTACAACCCTGTGATCAGTTGTCACTGCTTCACCGACTAGGCACTCCTCTTCCTTCCACTCGGTTTTGTTGTGAGCCTAAAACTCTAAAAACAGAAGCTATTTCTTTTAAAAGTCAATTTTTAAATGTGTGTGCAGGGGGAGATGTGTCTCCATGAGCCGCAGCGAGCAGTCTCCCCACTACCCTCTTTTAGCGGCTCACCAGTGGCTGTGCTGTCATCCCCATCGCCATCCTCTTTCAATGATTCACCCGCTTCTAATGATTATAATCTTTTTTTTCCCTTGATTTTTTTAAACATAATCTCTACGTGGGACTCCAACTCACAACCCTAAGATCTAAGAGTTGTATGCTCTACCAACTGAGCCAGCCCGGCACAACCCTGCCCCCCCCCAATGCTTCTAATCTTAAATGTCGCCTACAACTTGCTCCCCATCTCTTGGCCCGCCTCTATAAAGCCACAAACACATGACTGCTGGCAGGGAACTATGGCCAGGGGGACGCAGCCAGCACCCCAGGGTGAGCGCATACTCCCCGGACACCGAAAGACCTCGAAATCTCAGCAAAGCAATTTCCTGCTACTCGCAAAGAACCTACAAGATCCCAGGAAGCAGGAGAGAGTCACAGCCTCTTTGGACCTCACCCAGCCCCAGCCTACCCAGCTTGGGGGCACAGTACTTCCCTCTGAGGTCCAGAGCTGCCTCCCTGGTAAGATGTGATGGCCCAGCTCTGCGACTCCTCGATGCTGCCCCAAAACCACGGACAAAAAATACACTAGTCCAGGGTTCTAGACTCATTTTCAACTGCTGTAGAACACGTTACCACGAATGCAGACGTTGACAGCCGCATGAGGTTATGATCTTACAGTTTCCATGGGTCATGAGGCCGGCCATGTTTTATCTGGGTTCACTCTCAGGGCCTCAGCCTACAATCCAGGCCAGGCTGCGGCCTTCTCTGAGGCTCAGGGTTGTTGCCAGAACTCAGCTCCTCTTGGCTGGAGTTCTTGGCTCCTACAGACCACTCTCAATCCCAGCCACGTGGCTCCCTCCACGGGGGCCATCCTCTGGTTTCGCTTTCTCGAGGAGGGCTCGCCTGATTAGGTCAGGACCACCTGATCCCTCCTGTGATTAAACTCAAAGTCAATTTATTAGTGATCTTGTTACAGGAGAGATGTCCCCCCCTCCCGCCCCCACCACCCGCCATATCTGCAGGTTCTACCCACACCCGAGGGGATTGTGTGTGTGCACAGCAGAGGGTAGGAATCCTGGCAGCCATCCTAGGGCTCTGCCTATCACGCAGAAAGGCCCACAGGACTGAAAACCAATCACTGCAAATAACTGCCACCAAAAAAAGAAAGGAAGGAAACAGACACCGCGCAGAGATTCTGAAAGCAAGTCCTGAAAAAGACCCTCCAGAGGCGAGTGCTGTGGACTTTGTGCCCAGGTTATTGCCCAGCGCTTAGACCCAAGAGCAGCAGAAAATGGAAGGAGTTCTGCTAAACCGCCCAGCCCAGCCAATCATCCACGAACCGCCCCAAGAGGAAGCAGGGGGCTGTACTGTCCTGTCCCACATGGCTGCTGGGACAAATTACCCCACAGCTCAGCGGCTTCCACCAACACGAATCTGTTACGGTAACAGTTCAAAAGGTCAGAATTCCAGAGCCAGTGGCTCTGGGCTGAGGTCAAGGTGACGGGCAGCGCTGGCGATGCTGCAAGCTCTTGGCACAACCCGCTTCAACGTCTCCTGCAGCTTCTTAAGGGTGGCTGGGATTCCACCCATGGCTCATGCCCACGTCGCTCCTGTCTCTGCTTCTGCAGCCGCATCACACCCCCCCCTTCTGTGGTAGAACCTTCTGCTTCCCTCTCACCAGTACCTTTGTGATCGATGGGTTCATTTTGAGGCAAAATACGGTTAAGTCCCTCCTTTCTCGCGAACCTGTTAGGTTGTCATCTGAACGGTGAGGTTGTACGATGAGCTCTTCTCTGCGCCCGATGGATCCCACGCTCCCTTCTGAGCCGGAATGTTCTGTCCTTCCTGCCTTCACAGGATCCCCCCAGGTATGGGACCTGCTATTTCCATGACTCCAAGATGTCCTAAAATGTTTATTTCTATTTCCCTGGGGATGTGCTATGGTGGGGGCAGGTAGTTGGAAGTGGGGTGAATCCTGTGCAGCCCCTTCCTAACTCGCTCCACTGGTTTTCAGGTTCTGAAGCCCAAGATAGCTAAATGGCGATCACAACAGAACAGGGGGATTCACCTGCCCTCGATGGAATCCTGAAACAAAGTTTTTAATTTTGGCTTTCTACGTTATAAAGTAGAGGCCACAAAACTTCGAAGAGAAAATGCCCGTTAGCTCAGACTTGCTATTTCCACGCAAGAACGCAAGAACGTCTGTGCTCAAGGTCTGCGGACCCGGTGTAATGGGTCACTGGAAGGTTCTCCCGTTGTTACGCCCATGGCCACGGCTCTCCCGGGAGACTCGGCTGCGTCTCCTTGATGAAAGCAAAGTGAAGAAGCGTCTTCCTCCCTTAAGTAAGCTTTGATTAGCACGACAGGGCTGGCTCTTCCTGGATTTGGTGACCTGGTCACCACAGGTGACCACAGGGTATGGCTCTTCCTGGTTCTTTCTGACCATTAGAGGTACTACGAGGGGCAGCAGGAGGCCAGGCAGGAGGGGGAGGCGGGGAAGCAACCCGGTCATCCTCGCTCGATCTGGCGAAACTGCGGAGAAGGCCCTGCTGCCCATCGGGATACGCGCTTGGAAAAAGCACTGGTCTGTGTCCTCGCGTTCACTCACGTCCTAGGACAGGCGTCTTCCACTGCTGTTCTGTCTGAGCTCCTGAAACTGCAGCCTTCCTCCTCCAGGGGGAAATACAACACCCTCCGCGTGTCCGCGTTCCAGAGATGGGATTTACTCCTCCGGGCTCATCGCCCCCGTACTCAGCGTCCTGGCTCCCGGCCCAACCCTCCACTTACCACGCGGGCAGACGCTGAGCCTCCCGCGCGCCTGAGAGCCACCGTCCCTCTCCCGGAGCACACTGTGGACCTGAAAAACGCTGACCTTCGATATCCTAATCTCGTTATGTTAAAGGGTCCCACCAACAGCCCAAGCAACGCTGGTCTCCAGCGTTTTTGCTGTGTTTTCTCAGCTCCAGACGGGGAAGTTCTCTCCTGCGCTTGTGATGCTCCATACAGGGGCTGAACGTGTTCTGTTGCTCTCAAAAATCTTTTAATATTTATATTTATTCTCCCTTGCTCCTGGGGCTACTGACGAGCATGAGCAACTGTCAAAACAGATACTTTCTTACCTCTGGACAAGCGGGGGTGTCTAAAGGGGCTTCTGTCGTGCTCATTTTTAGGTGTGGCGGGTGTCTTGCTCGCCCCCGAAAAAAATGTGTCGTTCACTCAAAACAGGATACTGCTATGTTTCAAGAGCTTTGGCTTAAAAAAAAAAAAAACACCGAAAGCAGAGGCAAACTTTTTCTAGGCCATTCCTTTTGCTAGCAGGGTCCTCTTCCAAGTCCTGCTGCTGCTGCTTTCCTCTGAAGATGCCCCCACCCCATTCAAAAAGCAATCGCAGGGTGTCTTGTGTACCCCTGTACTATTTGACATGCTCCAGATGGCCACTTGGTGGCGCCAAAATGTCCACTCTCTTCCCCCTGTTGAGGTGGGTACCGAGGTAGGGAACTTTTTGAGTAAAGGGAGGGGCACGGAGCCAGAAGGGGAATACCCAAACCAGAAGGGCAGCTGATCCTTGCCTCGATGGCCATTAGATAACTGCCATTTTATTCAGATGGAGAAAGGGTGGGGATCGAGAAACGATTTGAGGGTCACCTGGGTGGCTCCGTAGGCTAAGGGTCTGCCTTTGGTTCAGGTCATGATCCTGGGGCCCTGGGATTGAGCCCTGCATCTCGCTCCTTGCTCAGCAGGGAGTCGGCTTCTTCCTGCCCTTCCCCCTGCTCCTACTTGTACTCTCTTTCTCTCTCCCTCCCTCTCACTCTCAAATACATAAATAAAATCTTACAAAACAAATAAATAAAAATGATTTAGTTATCCTGGGCACTGCCTGGGGACGGACAGACGCATGCACATATTTGTGTGTCAAAGTCATCGCCACAGGGCCCCTACAGACATTTTATTTCCAAAGTCGGTCATCTTTGTCCGCTAAGCATGGAGGGACTCAGGCATTTCAGACCAGGCTGTAAAGGAACTTTGAAAAGCTACAAAATCAAATCAAAACTACAGTCAGGGGCTGCCTGGGTGGCTCAGTGGGTTAAGCCTCTGCCTACAGCTCAGGTCATGATCTCAGGGTCCTGGGATCGAGTCCCACATCGGGCTCTCTGCTAGGCAGGGAGCCTGCTTCCTCCTCTCTCTCTCTCTCTACTTGTGATCTCTGTCAAATAAATAAAATCTTAAAAAAAAAAAAAAAACTACAGTCAGGTACCATTCTTCCAACTGGAAAAAACTGGGTACAGACAGTGCTGGTGGGACTGGAGAACCAAGCTCTCTCCCACGTTGTAGGGAGGATCTAAATTGGAGCCCTATCTGTGGAGGACAGTTTGGCAAAAGGAGCCAAATCACAAACCTGCATTCCATTTCTTAGGAATGCACCCTACCTACGAATATGTTTGCACATGTGAAGGTTACACGGAAGCACGATTTTTTCTAAGACTGGAAAAAACACTTAAATAATAGGAAGCATGAAATTAGGAACATCCACATAATGGAACACTGTGCAGTAGCAAAGAGGGAGAGGTCCAGGGAAGCCCCACCCAAAACCAGGGCCCAGGTCCCCAGTTTGTTCACCCCTAGTGAGGCCCTCCAGCCGTCAGTAATGGCTTGCTCCAGCTCCTCCCAGGTGACCATGGTGACTTCTTCTCCAACAGGCATCAAACTCATCTTCTGGCCCACGAAGTCCTGACGGTGACAGACAACATGCAGGCAGACAGACACACAAACACCCCAAGTTTAATCCCAGAAAGCTTTAGGAACAGAACTGAGCTAACAGAATCCACAGCCCTAGTCCCAAGGCAACATCACTATCCTTCAAGTGACCAGTGAGTCCTGGGCATCCAGTTTCCTGTCCCCTGAGGACCTCTGGGGGAACGCTGGGCTGGGATGGGAAGGATTTTCCCCCCCATCCAGGGGCAGCGGCCACAGGGGCAGAGGGCCTCATCCTACTTCGGAGGGACACAGACATCTGGGGTGGGAGCCTGGACATCCTCCCCTACTCCCCCTTGAGGGCCCTTTGTTACAGGACTCGCCCATATTACCAGGAATTCATCCCGTTCTCTGACTATCTTCTCTAGAGCATCGATTCGCTGGAAGGCTGTCTGGAAGAAGAGTTCAGAGATGGAGGATCAAATCAGCCCCTCCTGTGGACCCTACACGCACGCATGCGCACACACACGCACATGCATGCACACGTGCCTAGATACGCATGCGCACACACGCACATGCATACATGCACTCCTAGAAAAGAAAGGAGGTGTGTGGATCTTACGGGAGAGGGGGGTAGAGACAGGACCACTGAGTCAGCTAAATCGTTTTATTTCCAGCCAACAAGAGGCAGGCAAGTGAGGTGTGGCGGTCCTGGGGGACACTGTGCCAAGAGCAAATGCAAGCACAGGGGTGGGAACCTTTGGTCCTGGATTCACTTCTCCCCTCGAACAGAACATTCCCGCACTGCAGAATGAAGCTGACTTTGCCCCTCAAGGACAAAAATGATCCGGCGCTTCAAGGCGTCTGAATGGTGTGTGGTTTGAAGAGAAAAGCGTCCCCAAAGAACCGAAACAAATTGCTAAAACTTAAGTTGTTCTTTATGACCCTTGCAAAGCTCCAGAATGTAGGAATCTAAAGGTGAAACAAGCCTTTGGTCTGAAGAAAAAAACAAACAAACAAAAAAACATCTAAAAGCCCCAAAACACCACATTTCAAAAAGAAAAGCTTTCCAGAGCAACGGTGAGTCCCGCTTGGGCCTCAGGCCCGGAATGAGGGGCAGAATGGGGTCAGGGGCCCTGAGGCCTCCCTGAGCCTCTCCCTGGGCGTCTCCTTAACTGCCCCTCCTCCTCCTTCCAGCGCTAAGTCCCTGGGCGGCTTCCGGAGGGCCTGAAATAGGAGCACTGCCTAGTACTTTGGGCCCCTACTGTCCATCTGAGGGGGGGGTTCTAGATCTTTCTCTGAGAGAACAAAGATCCGAGTGAAGGTGTGGCTGCCGAGCACCTGCTGGTGTAACCGCAGAGCTCTCTCCATCCCAGCCCGCCCTCCTGGGCTCAGCTCTGTCTTTCAACACCCACCACCCCACTCCTTTATTCTTGTTTAAAGGAAATCCGCTCTTAGAATATTCTGAGAAGTTGTCAGCTCCCACTCCTCCCCCCATCCCCGACCCGGTTCGGATCCGTGGTGGTCTGAGAAGGGGCAGTGGAGTGGCGAGGACAGGCCCTGTATGGGAAGGGAGGACTCCGCGATCCTCGAGGTGGGGTCCCCGCCGTCCTCACCGCCGGGAGCTCCTGCGCCTTTTCCTGGGCTTCTTTGAGGGTTTTCACGTCCTCCACGACGTCGCGCAGCAGCTCCATGGCCTGCAAGGTGGGGGCGCGGCGGTTCAGAGGACCGCCCCGCGCCTCCCTTCCAGCCCCGGAGCCCACGGTGGGCCCCGGCCCCCAAGCCCCGCCCCGCCTCGCCCCGCCCGGCGCTCACCTGGGAGACCTGGGAGACCGTGGCCCGCTCGCCCTTCGCGATTTTCAACGACCCTGCTCGTGCCCTGGCCGGCGTCAGCTGGGCGGTCTCCTCCTCCAGCCAGTCCCGGGCGTCCAGCTCGCTGATGGGAGCCGTAAGGTGCTGCACGTGGCTCACGATGCCCTGCACCTGGCTCGTGACGGTCTTGAGCTTCCTGCTGAGGTCCTGGACCTGTCCTCCCAGGCCCTTCACCTGGCTCTCGAGCGTCGCCGCGGCCGTCGGTGGCTTGGTCAGGCTGCCGCGCGGCTTCTCTTTGGACGCAGCCAGCTGCGGGGCGCTGAGCGCGGCCTGCGGGAGCTCCAAGGTGCGGCTCGTCTCCGGCGACGGCAACGGCGACTGGAAGTCGATGCGCACCTCCTGCAGGTTGAGGCTCCGGAGCATGGCCACGATGAGCGTGTGCAGGGCCGTGAAGTTGACGGCGCCCACCTCCGGGGTGCCGATGGCCAAGTCCGCCAGCTCCCGGAGGGAGACCGTGGTGGTGGCCGCCGTCGCGGGCGGCATCTTGCGCCCTCTCAGCAGCGGTCCGCGCTCTCGGCTGGCCAGGCGGCCATGTCCCCCTCACTGCCCACTGCGGCCCCGGGCGCTGTCCAGGGCATCAGTCGCTGGAGGACGGAGGCGAAGCGCCTGGCCGCCGGGCTTCCCACCCTCTGCTCCTGGGGACCCGCGCCTGCCTCCCAGCGGGGTCCGGACAGCCGCCAACCCTCCGCCGTCCAGTCGTCCGCTCTCCGAGCTACACCCTCCCCTTGCGCCGGCTGCGGCCAGCGGACGTTTGGAACCGAACGGACGGCCCGTTCACTGCCCCGTGGTGCGGGGCCCCCGCGCACGCGAGGGTTCTGACACCGTCCAGCGGGCACCCCGCCGTGCGGGACCCGCCCATATGCGAAGTCACACACCCCCTCCCAACTTGCAAGGGGATCCTATCTTATCCGGGTCTGGGGAAGCCTTGGACATACCCCAAGGCACCACTGTTACTAACGTTCCCAAAGGGGCTATGAGGCTGTGTCAAGGCACTGCTATCGGAACTCGGCAGTTTGGCAAGGGGAGGGGTCCTGCAGCTCACCTAAGTTGCAGCCCTCACTTAACCTAGGAAGGCCTCCCATGCACTCAGCCATTAAGAACGGGCAGATTTAAGACACACCATGTGTGTCCTTAGCTCGTTCTATTACTCAGGGCAGTGGCACATGTCTTAAGGGATGCAGTCCTGAGACCTTGGCTTTTAGGGGACAGCTCTCCTCTCATTTTGCTTCATCAGAAAGGAGGGTAACTTGGAAAAGACCGCTCGCCATCCAGGCAGCTCCAATCAGCGGCCACCCTGGCCTAGTTTATCTAGAAACAGACTCATCTGGTCAAGTCCCAGCATTTCAGCCTGTCACAAGCCAGGATTAGACAGGACTAGAGGAATCTGGTGCTCTCAGCAACTGGGGCTTGACTTCCCCACACCAGGTTTTTCCAGAAAATGTGAAATGTCAGTGTTTACATTCAGGAAAGCTAAGGAAAACCTGAGCACAAGTCTGTACCATGGACTCCTATTTTAACTACTTCTCAAATTCAAATTTTTAGTCTGAGATGGTAAAATGTAACTGAAACCCTTCACAACCCTCGTCCCCAGGTGTTGCCTGGGAGTGGAGTTAAATACCAGTCTAGAACCTACAGGAAGGTTAACACCTAAGGATTCTTTTTCACCGTCACAGCCCCAGCACCTGACACTCAGTGGGGGCCTCCCGCTTCCTGAAACCATCAAAAGAACAAATTGTTAGCAGCTTTGTGCACTTATGTTTTCACCCTATAAAACAGAAGTCTGGGTCACCAAATTAAAGCCTTGTGATGGGGCTTCCCCTGTCCTAGAGGGTGTGGAACGTGAGCTTCTCGATTCTAAGCTGTGACTTTCCAGAAGGATGTTACCCCTGATACCACTGGCCAGAATCTCGGCACCCTGAGTCCTCATGATTTCATCTGCAGATCCCTGAGACTTGGCATCATGCCAGACACAGGTTAGGACCCACTAAATGCCCATGGAAGGGCTGTATATGAATATATTCTAATTCTAATCCCAGGAAATATATTCTATGAAGTAAGTACAAACACCTCTGTTCTTAAAGACACAGGAAAATAAACATCAACTGGATGTATAAATGGAATTTTGGAGTTGAAAAGATCTCCCTCAGCTGTCAGTTCCAAACCTCCCTCTTTAGATCTGATGAGACCCAGAAAGGACTAGTCATCTGCAGGGTCTTACAAATAAGAACCAGGTCTCCTGAGTAACAGTCCACAGCTCCGCCTCCCCCACCATGCTGCTATCTGATAATTGAGTTCTTGCTCCAAATTCCCCTACTTGGACTATTAACAGAAGGCAACTTGTGTGCTTGAAAAAGCTAACGTGCTTGAAGTCTTGATTGTGGCTTGGGAACTTTTCAAGTCATTAGGAAAGGGATAAAAATGTCAAGGAAATGTCCCTGCAGAGAAAGACAATTGTACAAAGAAGCGGATTGTCCTTTACTATCCCTCAGGAACAGAACCAATTCCAGCTCATTGCCCGACAGACTGTCCTTCCCATTACATTCAGTCCTGCCCAGAGCAGGATGAAGGTCTAAAAGACCTCCCTGACAGATGTGTTACAATACAGAGTAATTTTAATTGCTGGGTAGGAAGACCATGAGCAGTCCTGAGAAATGCTATCCACACTGTCTTCTATCACACAAGAAAAGTATGATTTGTTCTTTTTTTTTTCTTTAATTTATATTTATGGGGCGCCTGGGTGGCTCAGTAGGGTTAGGGCCTCTGCTTTCGGCTCAGGTCGTGATCTCAGGGTCCTGGGATCAAGCCCCGCATCAGGCTCTCTGGTCAGCAGGGAGCCTGCTTCCCCCGCCCCCACCTACTTGTGATCTCTGTCAAATAAATAGATAAAATCTTTAAAAAAAAAAAAATTTAGATTTCTAAATCCATTATCCCAACCAGGATTTGATTTCGATGCTTAGGAAGGGGATGGAATGTACCGGTGGAGACTCCTGTCCGGGGTTTAGGACCAGCCCCGGACCTGGACTACCCTTTATTTTGTACCCGTTGTCTCCTGCACTGTCTGGACAGCAGTCAGCCACCGTGAAGGCAGGAGAGCGGGCGGTTCTGCAACGTAGCCAACAGACTTGCAAGACAACAAACTCTTTTATTTGCCATTGTAGAGCTTCGCAGGGATCCAGAGATAGGGGGCTACTCTCTAATCTGACCTCCTCGCTGGGGTAATGCCACAAAGGCTTTGTTGTTCGGTGGCTGTAGGCACGGCAGCTTCTCAAAGAAAAACAGGGTTTTCTACAAAAGATGTACGTGAGGCTGACTGGGGAGAGGACAACTAGCCTGGAAACAGTACCAGGGCACTCAGCTTCCCTAACCAAGTTCAACGTTGACACACATTTCCCTGCAGTGGAAATAGCCCAATATTAAAGAGCTCGGACCATCTGCCCTTAACTCCTTTTCAGTATCAACAAAATTTGGGAATTCTTTTCAGAAAACTAACTTTTGTTTAAGGACCAGGATGGTGATGGCAGACATTTAAGGCCGTTTATCCATTAGCTCTGTCTTCCCCTTGACTATCTTAATGGCTCCTACCTACCCAACTGGGTGAGACAGACTATCTGACTTCAGGCTACTTCCATGCCTCCCTCGAGAGGAAACACTGTGTACGTAAGTTGATGGCACGGCTCTCCACACGTTTTCCTCAGGAGTTCCGCGGTCAAGGCAACGGCGACAGCTAGTCATCCACGGTGATGTTTCGGAAAAGGTACGCCATGGACTCCCCATTGTGGATTCTCCGAATCGCTTCAGAGAGAATCAGACTGATATCCACGGTCTTTATCTTGGGACACTGCAGCTTCTGCACCTCGTGAGGGACCGTGTTCGTCACCACGACCTAGTCATTGCAGAGACAGAAGATAAACACTGTTACTGATGTGTTCCCAAGACGGCCACCCAGAAAAGTCTGTCCCAGCTTTAGTTCCCACAGCCCAAGTTCCAAACTACAAAACCTTATTCCACCGAGTACAGTTTTTACAAACTAAACTTGACGGACTTTATACAAGAGAAAGGTTACATGGTTCAAAACATGAGTATGAAGGTCATGTTCTACTTGGGCAGAAACGGTAGGGTGAGCCCCGGCACTGTGCAAAACTGGATGAATCCAAGTTGTGAGAGGAACGCTCCCACAGCACCAAACTACACTGAAGTATGAACCACATCCAAGTAAATAAGCTGAGCCTTTATGGAAAGAGGCATTTGTTCCTAACTACACATTTATCGCAACACCCTGCTAGCCACCAAGGCTACTTCCGAGGTCCTCCAGAGAGGGGGTTAGGCAACAGTGATGGGGTCATTTTACAATTCACAGAAAAGAGAGCAGCAAATTCTAGGCCCAGTAAGTGCAGACAGACCTCGTCAATGGAGGACTCCTCGATGAGGCGGGGGGCCTCCGCTGATAGGATGCCGTGAGTGGCCATGACGTAGATCTTGTAAGCACCTCTCTCTTTCAGGATCTCCGCAGCAGCAACAAAACTTTCCACATCGTCAATAATGTCATCCTGGGGAGACACCAGAGGTGGTGTTAAAGTGCTACCCCCCGTCTCTAAAACACATACTTCTCTGCTCTTCTCTGCCCCTCGTTTCTGGACATCTCCAACTGGAAATCAGAGCCACCTGCTTGGACCCAAGACGGAACATCAGGCAGTGGCAACAGCCGTGTGGACCACACTTTGCGTGGCTGTCAGTACAAAGAACAGCAAAGCCTGACGGCCACGTGTGACACGCGGAGCTAGAGTTCCCAGCTGCCAAGGCTTATCATCCTGTCCCACATTTCTGATTCATCCGACATAGCTGGTGTCCCATTTACTTTTTTTCAAGACAAAGTGAGATGACAAGAACACAGAAATAAAGCAAGCCATTGTAATCAGGCCCAGCAAAGGCACTTAGGGCTGGGAGCAAACAGCTCATGCTGAAATGCAAAGAAAAGACACTTGTTCTCACTAGTGAAAACGGAACCGCTCATCTTTGGTTCCTCTTGTGGCCCTAAAGCTGAAGGTTGAGTAGATCAATGGCTCTGATGAAACCCAGACCCCTTCAGATAAAGGTTATTTATTGGGGATGAATTTTCTTACAGGAGATCCTGCACTTTTTTTTTCCATCTGTAGGTTAAAGTAACCCCTGTTCAACTACATAAAGATTTCTACCAGTCCTGAAGGAGTTCGGGTGAGAAAGGATAGATGGATCCATTTAATTCCATCAGCTTTACTAGAAACATAATCCCAAAGAGGACAACCTATGAAGAGGCAGCAGGGTCAGCTGTGCACACGAAGGACGACATGACCATACCACTATGATCGCGATGCGCCCGCCAACATCTCCAACTACAGTTATCGGTGGCTTCTCTTTGGCCATCATCACTAGCAAAACAAAACAAACCACAAGGCCCCAGTTAGTCACATGTCACTGAATAAATATAATTGCAACCCTATTCCCTGGAAGTGGTGAGAAAAAGAACATTATTAAAAAGCAAAACAAAGGGCAACCCTCTTGGGTCCCCTAGCTGCTCGGGAGCTTTGTACGATCATTTTTTTTTTTTTTTAAAGATTCTATCTACCCACTTGACACGGAGAGAGATCACAAGTAGGCAGAGAGGTAGGCAGAGAGAGAGGGGTGAACCAGGCTCCCCACTGAGCAGAAAGCCCAATGCGGGGGAATGATCCCAGGACCCTGAGACCATGACCTGAGCTGAAGGCAGAGGCTTAACCCCCTGAGCCACCCAGGCGCCCCTGTACGATCACTTTGCTAACGCTCAATAAACCTTTTTTGCTGCCACCAAAAATAAATAAATAAATGAAAGGGGGACGGGGGATTCTCCAAAATGAACCTGGGGCTTCTCAGAAACAGACTGTCTACAGCAGTGGTTTATTTATTTGTCAGAGAGAGAGAGAGCACAAGCTGGGGGAGGAGTGGCAGGCCGAGGCAGACGCAGGCTCCCCGCTGAGCAAGGAGCCTGGGATCATCACCTGAGCTGAAGGCAGATGTTCAACCGACTGAGCCACCCAGGTGCCCCAAAAATAAAATCTTTAAAAAAAAAAAAAAATTAAAGAGAAATGAGTGAAATTAATAGATTTTATTTTAGCCGGTATACCCGAGATATTTCAGTACGTAACTGATATGCAAATTTATGAGATATTTTACCTTTTTTTTTTTTCCATACTAAGTCTTCAATACTTGGGGTGCATTTCAGAGACAGCAGTTCTCAGCTGAGACTAGCCCCGCTTCAAGAGCCTAAGAGCCACATGTAAACAGATACGAGCCACCGGCCTCTGGAAAGCGCAGGTCCAAAACCAGCGGAAGAGCGAGGAGGGTCTCACCGCCCACAGAAGCAGCACCCCGACAGCCCAACGCCCGCTGAGACTGATAGAGAAATGTAAACTAAATGCCACTCTGTAGGAAACCAGACAGGTAAAGGCTGCCTGGCTGACGGCCAGCTTTACTTCATTGTCTTCCAAAGTGACTTTATTTGGACAATGTAACCTTATTAGCACGTGACTACATGACTGACATCATCGGTTTCCTGAAAATTAGGGACCTGAAGACAGTAACTATGACTCCATCATGTCTTCCTGATTTTTTTTTAGAAGATTTTACTTACTTATTTGAGAGAGGGAGAGAGAAAGAGCCCTCGCACACACATGCCCATGGAAGGGCGGGCAGAGGAAGAGGGAGAAGCAGACTCCCCGCTAAGCAGGGAGCCCCAGCACCAGGGCTCGATCCCAGGACCCTCAGATCATGACCTCAGTGGAAGGCAGACACTTAACCAACTGAGCCACCCAGGCACCCCCATTTCTTCGTGATTTGACTGGTCCTTAAAGTACAGGCTTCCTATCTCGCTACCCAGTTTATACTTGGAAAAGACCCATCTGTGTACAAACCTCTCTCCAGGATAGAGGAGTGAAGTAAGAATTCACCCTCAAAAATTCAGCAAACTGGGGCGCCTGGGTGGCTCAGTGGGTTAAGCCTCTGCTTTCGGCTCAGGTCATGATCCCGGAATCCTGGGATCGAGTTCCGCATCGGGCTCTCTGCTCAGCGGGGAGCCTGCTTCTCCCTCTCTCTGCCTACCTGTGATCTCTCTCTGTCAAATAAATAAATAAAATCTTAAAAAAAAAAATTCAGCAAACAGAGAGAGAGAGAGGGTATTTCAGAAGAACAGGCTATGTAGTCTACTTTTAAAGCTTTTTATTATTCTGAAATAGTAAACCAGTAGTGGGAGAGGGACATAAGAATAAAACTCAGAATAACTCTTGAGGTTAGCAACTATCCGCAAACAAACTGTGTTAGTCCTAGCTACGGGCTCTGTGAATCTCTAAGAACAGGTGTGCCTTTCCCCATACGGCACACCAGCCAAGCTGAAATCCACCGCTATGTAACTGATAAATTTTACTCAACGCTTCCTGATTTCCCATCCCCGAAACAAGGGCAATTTTTTGAACCTGGGCAGTCAAAAACCTCTGCATATAAATATCACCTAAAAGAGGGAGAAGATACACCAGCATTAGGAAATGGCTTCCCTAAATTCTATCTTAAATTAAGCCATGTGGGAGGCACCTGGGTGGCTCAGCCAGTTAAGCGTCTGCCTTCGGGTCAGGTCATGATCCCAGGGTCCTAGAACTGAGCCCCCGAGTCCAGTTTCCTGCTCAGCAGGAAGTCTGCTTTTCCTTCTCTCCCTCTGTGCCCCCCTCTGCCACTTGCGGTCTCTTTCAAATAAATAAAATCTTTTAAAGTATTAATTAATTAAACCATGTGGGTAGATGGCTGTGTTGACCTACCCACTTCTCAAAGAGATGGGGCTCCTCCCTTTCCTTGACCATTCTCCTCTGTAAAAAGAGAAAAAGATTGCAAGCCAGTATCCCTCATCGAAGACCAATAAACATTCAGCTGTAGTTTGATGAGGGAAACATGCCACTAGTGCTCTTGTTTACTTTTCTGTAACTCTGCTTCTCCCAAAAAGCTTCTATTAGTTTGGAATGTAAAAACACAGGTCTGGCTAGGATAGAGGCTTAAAAGGCTTTTAAAAAGCAAGCATCTTGGGGCGCCTGGGTGGTTCAGTGGATTAAAGCCTCTGCCTTCGGCTCAGGTCATGATCTCGGGGTTCTGGGATCGAGCCCCACATCAGGCTCTCTGCTCGGCCGGGAGCCTGCTTCCTCCTCTCTCTCTGCCTGCTTCTCTGCCTACTCGTGATCTCTGTCTGTCAAATAAATAAATAAAATCTTAAAAAAAATAAAAAAATAAAAATAAAATGCAAGCATCTCTCCCGGTATGTTCCTTCTCTGCTCATTACCGGTTTTAGGATCTGGATAAAACTGAACATACAATTTGGTAGCTACTTAAAAAAAAAAAAAACAAAAAAAACCCAGGCTTTATTAATAGGATCAAGGGAAATGAACAGTACCTCACAGGCTTAAAAAAAAAAGTCCCCAATTTTCTAATAGTTGCCCCCCAAAAGAAAACACTGAAAATTCAAAATTTTCAGTAGAAGTAAAGAACATACTGGAGATTAAGGATAAAGGGTGCTAAAACTACCCAATATTTAAGGTTCTGTTCCCTTTCTTCATTTTCTCAAACAAAAACCAATCTGTTTAAGAATAAAATGAATTGTGCACTATTACTTATGGCCAGAAATCACAAACCATATTAACTTATTATAGTGGAAATGTCAATTTATCAAATAACCTCAAATCTTGAAGTAGGAAAATATCTTCTGGGTTTCCCAGCATTTTCCACATAAAAGAATGCTGCATTCACACGCATCGTAAGTTTTACGCACGCTCTTTTACTCTCTACCCAGAGTCAATCAACAAACCTTCCTCTGGTAGAATACAGGACAGGAGAGGACCAAAAGGAATTAATCATTCCTTATCCATTGATTTTGATCTATTTGTAGTTCAATTGAAGGTCGAACTTTACTAACAGACTGACGTTAAAAAGAGAATAAAATCAAGTCTCTGGGAGGACTGGAACTGCAGTTATTTTCAAACTCCTGACTCTGCCCACACTCAAGCAAGTCAAAACGTACATTTAAGGATGCTCCAGAGGAGCTAACGTCTGTTTTTACTTTAGTGGTGAAAACCACATCTTCACTTATAAAATTAACAAGCCAGAGAAATCAAGCCCAAAAAGGTGACTTTCTCTCCTTTTTTCGATCCAAACTCTTCATTTTCACCACTGTGCCAAGCACAGAGCAGTGTTCAGAGAACCACTGACACATAATCCTTTCAAGTTCATTAGATGCCCTTGCCATCAGGATGGAATTGATTTTATCTTCTAGAACAGAAGACTTCATACAACTTCGCTTTTAATAAATTATTCTGGGGGTGCCTGGGTGGCTCAGTGGGTTAAGCCTCTGCCTTGGGCTGGCGTCATGATCTCGGGGTCCTGGGATCGAGTCCCACATCGGGCTCTCTGCTCAGCGGGGACCCTGCTTCCCCCTCTCTCTCTGCCTGCCTCTCTGCCTGCTTGTGATCTCTGTCTGTCAAATAAATACATAAAATCTTTAAAAAAAAAATTACTCTGAAGCAGGGTTTCTCAGCTGTGGCACTACTGACATTCTGGACTAGATGACTACGCGGTACACTGGGGCGGTGTCCCCCAGCTTCTCCAGCGTCTGCTCACTAGACACTGGTGCAACCCGGCCTCTGCCCGGTGGCCGGACCAGAAAGGCCTTCCTTCGCACCTTGTGAAATATCCGCCAGGAGCTGGGGCAAAACCATTCCGGTTGAGAACTCCTGCTGCTCTGAAAGAACGGGTTCCAGGAAGATAAAAGAGTTCGTCTTTCTACAAAATGCAGATTCTGAGAGCGAATACTTTGATCCTGCCCCAGCAGGGCAGTGTCTTCATCCCCATTACTCTTTCATTGATTTTGAGAGTAAGAGGTAGAGAGTGCGCATGCGTGCGGGCAAGCAGGGGGAGGGGCAGAGGGAGAGAGATTCTCAAGCGGACCCTGGGCTGAGCTGGGAGCCCAACCTGGAGCTTGATCCCATGACCTTGAGATCATGACCTGAGCCAAAACTCAGAGTCGGTACTGAGCCACCGAGGTAACTCGTCATCCTCTTCACTGTTTTTTGGGAGATTTTATTTACGTATTTGAGAGAGAGCGCGTTCGCATGCAGACAAGCAGGGGGAGGGGCAGAGAGAGGAGGAGAAGCAGGGACTCCGATGCAGGACTGGATCCCAGGACTCCGGGATCATGACCTAAGGGGAAGGTAGATGCTTAACCGATGGAGCCACCCGGGCGCCCTTCATCCTCATTATTATGAAGTAAACTATTAAAAAATACTGGAAGCAGAACTGACATATAAATATAAAGCATATTTAATTTGGAAAGTACCATTACACAAAACTAGTATTTTTTTTAAAGCATTCCCTTGGTCAAATCTGTAAGAAGGAATCAGAGAATGACCTATGGCAACTGTGCAAGTTGTAAACACACCAACGTGTCCCCAAGGGAACACACAGCTGCACACCACCTTATAAAGTATTACATTAATCTGCCAATTATCTATCAAAATTACCTTTGACCCAGTGATTTTATTTCTTGGTCTTTATCTTTTAAAAAAGTTCACTGAGTCACTTACGGAAGAACCTGAGTCGAGGTTAGTCACAGGGAGTAACGTGTGGTGGCCGAGTGCACACTCCGGGGCCGAGTCTCGGTGGTGAATATCACTTTCCGCTAAAGGAGCTGGGGCTGCTCGCCGGAATGACTGATTCCAGGGCTAAGGAAGAGCAAGATAAACGTGGAACATCTAGTGGTACCAGGAAGTAAGGAAGTATCAAAAAATGCTAGGAACACGTCAGAAGAACACAGGGAGGGGCCTGAAGGGGCTCCCTTTGGCCAAGTCTAAGACAATTTGAACTTTGCGATAAACAGTAGCCAAGAACGAGAACGCCCTGAAAAATTAAGATTGTATGACTCCGCTCCGGTAAGAATGGATGAACAGGGAAGAAGGGGAACTGGAAACATCACCAGTCGGTCACAGTCGTAGTCGTAACTGATTCAACCTAATATGAAGAAACAAACACGCCTCAATAAGGGATATTTGTAGAACAACTCCCCTATACTCTTCAAAGTATCCAGGTCAGGGGCACCTGGGTGGCTCAGTGGTTTAAGCCTCTGCCTTCGGCTCAGGTCATGATCTCAGGGTCCTGGGATCGAGCCCCGCATTGGGCATTCTGCTCAGCAGCGAGCCTGCCTTCCCCTCTCTCTCTGCCTGTCTCTCTGCCTACTTGTGATCTCTGTCAAATAAATAAATAAATAAATATCTTAAAAAAAAAAAAGTATCAAGGTCATAAGAGATCGAGAACAGAGAAGTCGTTCCAAACTAAATGAGACTAAAGAGAACGGTCAGCTGAGCTCAGTGTGTGATCCTTACTGGGTTCCGGGTCAGAAAGAAATGATTTTCCGCTAAAGGACACAGTGGGACCACAAACAGGAATAAGGTCTGCAGGTTAGGTAATAGTACTGTAACAGTGTCAGTTTCCGGAGTCTGATCATTACACTGTGGTTATGTAAGAGAGTATCTGTTTTTTGAAATATTTACTGAAGCATTTAGGAATCAGGACATTATGTCCACAGCTCATCTCAAATGGTTCAAAAGAAAAGAATATGAACATAAATGTTAAGTCTGGGGCCTCTGAAGAGTCAAGAGGAATTCTGTCCTATTCTTTCACCTTTTCTCTGAGACTGCAATTTGTTCAAAATGAAAAGCTTCGTTCCAAACCCCAGCTTCACCTGCTCCCGGCTGGGTCTCAGTTGCCTCCCTGGCAGAATGAGGGGTAACGCAAGTACCTACAAGATTGTGTGTCTCCACACCAAGTCCAAAGACCTACTGAAGAGCTTAGAAGAACCCTGGACACAACAAAAGATGTTTATTATTATTGGTGCTTTTTCATAGCCGAAGACTGGAGAAACTAAATGTTTGTCGACAGGGGACCAATTGAGAAAATTACTGTCTATCCATAAAATGGAACACTTAGGAAACTATGAAAGACCCAGTGATCTGTACAGACTGGCGGGGAAGGAGCTCTTGGATGAGAAAAGCAAGGGGTAGCACAATGTGGTTTAATATACTACCGCTCTGTGAAAATGAGAGAAACAGAAACATGTCACTGGCTTGCATATATGCACAGAGCCTCTAAATGGTTACAAAAGGGGCGCCTGGGTGGCTCAGTGGGTTAAGCCTCTGCCTTCGGCTCAGGTCATGGTCTCAGAGCCCTGGGATCAAGCCCCGCATCGGACTCTCTGCTCAGCGGGGAGCCTGCTTCCCTTCCTCTCTCTGCCTGCCTCTCTGCCTACTTGTGACCTCTCTGTGTCAAATTAAAAAAAAAAATCTTAAACGGTTACAAAGGCACTGACTGCCCTGGGAATCAGAGTAGCTGTGGCAGGTGGGGGCTGGGGGGAGAGAAAAGCTTAGGTGGGGTAGGAAAGTTTTTTAAACTTTTAAAATTTTGTAAGAATTTTGTACTTTTTACATTTTTGAAATATGGGAATATATTGCCCATTCGAGAACTTTAGTTATGAAATCCTCAAATAAAATAAAATGCGGCAACACCAAAAATTTAAATTAAAGGGGTTTATTACTTGTTTCTCTTATATAAAAACCTCCAGAGTTGAAAACAAAGTGATGGGAATTTGATAGGGTAAAAAATTAGAATGTTTACACCTTAGGAGCCTGTCTGAAGTAATCCATCTGCGGTATAACCATTCTGGTGTTCTCCCATCTTATTAATAATCTCTGTATGCTTCTGAGTTATGGCAAATAGATACAGACTTTAAAAAGAAATAATCTCCTTCCTCTGAAAAAGATACCATTATCTTCTGGTATAGAATGCCAGTTATTACAACTCAAAACCCATGGAAATAAAAAGCCTCCACAGTGCTGAATTAGTAACAACTTAGTCAGGGGGCGTCTCGGGGGTTCAGTCCTTTAAGCATCTGCCTTTGGCTCAGATCCTGATCCCAGCGTCCCAGGATCCAGCCCAATGTCAGGGTGTGTGTGTGCGTGCGTGCGTGTGTGGTGTGTGTGGTATGTGGTGTGTGTGTGTGTGTGTGTCCCGGCTCAGCAGGGCATCTGCTTCTCCTCCCCACCACCCTTTCTCTCTCTCAAATAAATAAATAAAATCTTAAAACAAACAAACAAACAAAAAAAACCCTAGTCAGTTATCAGGTCAAAAGGTTGTATTACTAAGATAAGTGCTAAAAGTTACCCGAATCACCAAAGCCTGGTATATAATCAATGGTTGCTATCGCCCACCTTACCAACATATAAAAGCTTAAGATTTCACACTTACAACTTTTTCACTGAAGCTAAAATTATTTCATACTCTCTGAATGCTAAGTGCCACCCAGATTAGTTCAACTGTCCTTACACAGTCTGTGAAGGTAAAACATCTCCTCTTACAAAAGGGGAAATCAATGTCACACCATTCAATTATCTAAGAATACCAAGATGGGGCGCCTGGCTGGCTCAGTCGGAAGGGCGTGGGACGCCTGATCTCAGGACTCTAAGTTCAAGCCCATGCTGGGTGTAGAGATTACTTAAAAATAAAAATCTGTAGAGGCGCTAAGTAGCTTAGTTGGTAAGTGTCTGCTTTCAGCTCAAGTCATGATCCCAGAGTCCTGGGATCGAGTCCCGTGTCAGGCTCCTTGCTCAAGGGGAACTTGCTTCTCCCTCTCCTATTAGCTCAGTGCTCTATCTCTCTCTCTAATAAATATACAAAATCTTAATAAAAAAAATTTTTTAATTAAAAAATAAAAATCTTTAAAAAATTAAAATAAATTAAAAAAAATAACCAAAATAGCATACCTCCATTACGTATTAACTCCTAGCCATTCATATCACTCAAGACCTTCTTCAACTTACAAGTGAAATAAAAACATAGAGCTCATCTTACACGGCAACTCCAGACCCGGATGGACAGTAGCATTTTTGACCATCGGGGGAGAATGGCGACCGTCGTCCATGTCCAGCTCTGTGCACTGAGCCTCTCCGTGGATCACAGCCAACCCCAGACGCAGTCTCTCAGCGTATGACTGGGCCCTACGAGAAAGCCAACAACAAACAGGGAAATTCACAGGTGTCACTAGCTCATCACTATTAATCATCAAATGAAAACATCATTCAAACGTTTAGGGACACACAATGATTTAGACAAATCCGAAGACGAGGCCCCGACCAGACTATAAACGTCTCGAGAGGCATAGGAGTCACCGGAGTTGAGACGCGGGCCAGCATCTGATTCTAGACCATTTCCGTTCTACCCTTTGCCCAATCTTGTAACACACATCTCTAGAAGATGGAACTTTGTTCAAAAAGGTCTCTTGAAAACCACTGCCTGGAAAACACTCCATAGCCCTCTGCTTTCCTTTTCCTGAGAATGCGAAGGAAGAACTTCCTTTTCTCGCACAGGAAAACCAAGTAACGCAGGGACCGCCCTGTATTGTTCGGGGACTGGCGATATAGCCCTGGGGGGGGACAGGACAACAACGTGGGGGAAGCCCGAGCCAATGAGCTTTTCCAGGCCATGTGACAACAGACCCTGAGTTCCAAAACAGCTCATTTTGACCAGCGAAGCACTGAGAGGCCTTTTTTGAATGTCCAACTTACTTACCTTTTGGCAGCATCAGGAGACTTAGCTACAATGACTGCATTCCTGTAATTTGGAATCTAGATTTGAAGGGAAAATAAGAAAATACTGAGAAGTTATCACAAAGGAACACCCGGGTGCCGGTAGGACCCTTCTTCCTCTCATAACAATGATCCGTACTAGCAAATAACGCTAGAGTTTCATGGACACGTTCAAAATTTAACACTTAACAATTTACATCATTGCCACAGTATGGCTACTTCAAGAAGATAAAAAAAATAATTACTTCTTAACACCTTCATTTCAGAAAACAGAAGCAAATTGCTAAAGATACTTGGAAGAAAATCCATTTTTAATGGCGTTAAAAAATTCGCTCCTCCACACCTACATGCTGACCCTGTCTGGCTGCCTCAGGCATTGCGACTCAAGGGGAAGGTCATCGGATGTGCCTTTCAATACTGAAATCTGATACCAGAGAAAAACTACATAGGGTCTCTTTTGAGGACAATGGGGTGTTTGCTGGTGGCTCCTCACTTCTTCCTGGATATACTGAAGCAGGAAAGGTGAGGCTCTAAGGTTGTCCACGGGAAAGCTGAAAAAGCCTTGTATTTCCTTTTGATGAAGATCCATAGTGATAATGTGAGTTAAACCTGAAATTTTAAAACAAAAAATTACAAAGTTCACCCCTACAAGTTAATGGCTACAGTGGACACAAATTAGACGCCCACTCCTGGTCCCTAACCGAAGACGGAACGCAGGGAATGTATTGTGAATAAGCACGTTAGTTACAGACTTCGTTTGTAACCTTAACGATATTTAATGAATTTAAGAATGTGGTCGAATCTCAGGTAAAAGAGCTTATAATCTTCCACATGGACAGAGAGCTCAGGCAGAGAAACAAGGGCTCTCCCCTACTGTCATAACTAGCTAGGTCCTGAAAATTAAGAAAAATCAGGCAGAAGCAAAAATACGTATATGGAATTAATAACCACAGAAGAAGTAATGGGTATAAAAAATAGTAAGGCCTTGATTAAAGAATCTAGAAAGACATGTTAAAGGCCCGTGGCTAGAGCAGAAGGAGTAAGAATCCAAAAGCAAAGTAATTCGCGTATTAGGAGAAAACTCCCTATGGAAGGGTTTGGAACAATTTCTAAATGTCATAAAAGAATGAGTCAAGAAGTATTCTTATCTAACAACAATAAAGACACACTCTTATAAACAGTCGTGAACAAAAAAAAAAAAAAAGGACACACATAAAAATATCGCAAATGGACAAAGGTCACTGCAAACCTTCTAGAGCAAAGAACCAGTACTACCCGTTTCTCCCCAAACACCACGTATCATAGTTTTAGAGAGAACAGAATCCAAATGTTTCTCAGGACTTGAACATATATTCAAGTTTTTAAGTAAACCCACCCGGCAAATAAAATCCCAACTGCTATCAAGTGTTACCAATTGGATTCAGACAGGCCAGAAAATACATGACCACTACGAACACAGAATAAAAGCGATGAGAATGAGCTGCTGTACAGAAAGACGGCCAGAGAGTGGGGGGAAGGAGGATTATATAAACCGGAGAAGCAGTAAAAGAAAAACCCAGTTTTCATCTTATGTACATAAGCAGAATCTAGCTAATAACCAAGGCCAACACGTAACTGTATCCTGACGCTCAAAAGATCCCACACGGACACCAGGATCACAGCTAAAGTGTTCATGAGAAGATGAGGTGGGACAGAAGGATGGAGAAGTCCAGGATTAGAGCAGAGACAACGTCACTGTCGAGTAAGACAAAGAGGAAAGGAAAACATAAGAGTTTATACCTCCGCTCACACATCCCTAACCAGGACTACCAGAAGGAAACCGGAAGAAAGGAATTAGTGAACAGCACTTAAAGAAAACAGAGGCCCCAAATTAGCTCTCTGAGGGAGGGACTAATCTCATGCAGAAACAGACCTGATGACAGGGCGGGAGCCCAGGGGCCCTTGTGCACACGCACCTGCCTTCGCCAGCATGGACGCCAGCAGCTTGCACACGATGGAGCCCCGCTTCCTCATCTTGCTCTGCTTGCTGTAGGGGAAGTACGGGATGACCCCGATAATGTTCCTGGCACAGGCGGTCTTCAGTGCGTATGCCATGATCAGAAGCTCCATCACAGCTGTGTTCACGTCTCTGAAACGGTAAAAATTTGTATTTGGGGTCAGGTCCATTTTTTTAACCCCTAAAAAAGACTGAAACGTCGCCTTTTAACCTGGGCTGTCAAGATGGGCATCACAGGTGTTTCTGTCACCGCACGAGCCAATGATGGCACCTCAAAAACCAGGGGAAAAGCTTATTAGCTCTTCCTTTGAGCTGTGGTTTCCACCAGCGGTTACGGCCACAGCCCAGCGAGCCACACTCACCTCTGCCTGGATCCTCTGTCAGTGACATGTCACCCGGGTGGCACGGGAAGCAGACGTCAGTGGCTGGCCAGAGTGAGCCAATGCCTGCGGCACTGTCCCAGGGACCGTCGGCTCAGGCCAGCCCCTCGCTCCCTGTGAACGCCAAGGGAAACCCACTGCCCTGCTGAGCGCCAGGGCCAGAAAGGATTGATTTTTCTCTTCGTTCTTCACGGGGCAGAGGGGAGGCGGGAGGACAGGGAAGTCCTGGAACTAAGTTTTCAAAAACTCTCCTCATCCCTTTTTCTCAAGATACACAGATGCCCGACAAAGATGACCCAGAGAGACAAAGAACAAAATACGAATCTGGAAGACAGTCAAAGGAAAGGCTACTTCCAGTTTTTTGTGTTTTTTTTTTTAAAGATTTTATTTATTTGACAGAGAGAGATCACGAGTAGGCAGAGAGGCAGGCAGAGAGAGAGGGGAGGAAGCAGGCTCCACACTGAACAGAGAGCCCAATAAGGACTCAATCCCAGGACCCTGGGATCATGACCTGAGCCGAAGGCAGAGGCTTAACCCACTGAGCCACCCAGGCGCCCCAAGGCTACTTCCAGTTTTATTGAATGTGGATTGCTACCCTTTGCCAAGGGTGATGGAGCCTACAGTCCCCTTAAAAAGGGCGAGAACCGGGGCACCTGGGTAGCTTAGTGGGTTAAGCCTCTGCCTTTGGCTCAGGTCATGATCCCAGAGTCTTGGGATCGAGCCCTGCATCGGGCTCTCTGCTCATCGGGGAGCCTGACTCCTCCCTCTCTCTCTGCCTGCCTCTCTGCCTACTTGTGATCTCTGTCTGTCAAATAAATAAATAAAATCTTAAAAAAGGAGGGGGGCGAGAACCTTAGGGCAGAGGGAAGGTCATTGGTCGGGCCACGAGCTGAGTGCCTTGTGTCACTCTACCCCATGTGGCCTGGGGAGGTGTGAGACTAGAGACAAAAGTGGCCCTAACAGAGGCCACCTCCAAGAGTTTCCGGGAGGTGGGTTTTCAGAGAAGGCGGCTCTTTGCTCCTGAGGGCAGACTGGGTAGGAGACTCAGTGGACCCCAGCCCCTAAGGATGGGCCTGGCAGATGCCTCCTTAGCCTGACCTTGAACGGACTCACACAGCCAGTGAAGAGAGTTCAATGGCTGCGGTGAGGTACCCTGCCCCTCCCGGGAAGGTGGGGGGGGTGGCGCTCAGAACCCAATTCAGACCACTCTCTACTACCCTCCAAAGAAAGAAAAAAAATGGTGAGGGTCTTAAAGTCCTTCAGGAAACTCTTCCAATGCTCCAACTTTCCTCTCTAGCCTGTTCTCACTCCTGCCTTGATTATCCAAGTCCTGGGAACATCCCCCTCTTTTGGGCCAGGAGTGTATCTCCTTCACCTGGGGGAAGCAGGATCATTTCCCATGTCTTTGTTTGTATCTGTGTGAGGAGCAGACTCTCAGCGGTCCATTCTGGAATCGTCCCTAGAGCAGCGAGGCTGCCCACATGGAGAGCAAAATGGAAAGCTTGCCATGAACATAGCAGAGACCTGGCAGTGTGGAAGTAGTTACAAGAAACACTCGTCATGAGACCGCTTTTTAGCCCGAAGGACAGAGAGACCATTTCCTCCCGGTCTCTTCCAGTCTGCCTGCCGCGCTCTCCGAGTGTGCCATCCTGAGCGCAGCCGGGACTGAGAAGAGCAAAGCCATCCCTGTCCTCTGACAGTGTTTGCCTTGTCCACATTCAACTTAGAGAACTCCCAACCTCACCTTTGTCATTTGGGTTTTTGTAACTATTTCAGGCTTCTGTCACACAAGCATTTCTCCCAGAGGGTAGATATAATTGATTCAGGACTTGACTTTAAGAAAACGACGAGATTCCTTGCGGATTGCTGACAGGTTACACTCTTTTCCAGTTGTTTCCTTCCTCTGAAATAAGCTGGAGGATTTTTCCTCCTCACACTCCCAAATTAATAACGTCCCAAGTTTCACCTGGGTGGATCTGTGGGTTAAAGCCTCTGCCTTCGGCTCGGGTCATGATCCCAGAGTCCTGGGATCGAGCCCCGCATCGGGCTCTCTGCTCAGTGGAAGCCTGCTTCCTCCTCTCTCTCTCTCTCTCTGCCTGCCTCTCTGCCTACCTGTGATCTCTGTCAAATAAATAAATAAAATCTTAAAAAAAAAAAGAAAAATGTCCCAAGTTTGGCATCGAAAGGTTAGAGGACACACAATCTTTAGGTAAAATCACGACAAGACACTTATCAAACACTTTCAAGGTGCTTAGGAATTTTTTTTTTAAGATTTTATTTATTTATTTGACAGAGAGACACATGGCGAGAGAGGGAACACAAGCAGGGGGAGTGGGAGAGGGAGAAGCAGGCTTCCCACGGAGCAGGGAGCCCGATGCGGGGCTCGATCGCAGGACCCTGGGATCATGACCTGAGCTAAAGGCAGACGCTCAACCGACTGAGCCACGCAGGCGCCCCAAGAACTCTTTATACTTGGTCGATTTTAATCCATTCATACATTCAACAAATATTGCGCAACATGAACCAGGCACTGTGTTAGGTGGTGGAGACAAAATGGCAAACAAGGCTGACCACATCTCAAGAAAATGCCAGAGACCCATACTGGACCACCCTTGTGGTAATCCTTTGTCCCAAAGAGCACATCTGACTCAATGTTCCCCCTCCAAAGGCTTTCACACTTGATCCCACAGAGGGGAGAGCGCCCTTTCCCCCATCACATCACCTAAACTGATGTCCTGTGGGTTCTGAATGTTCAGCTGGAAGATCGCACAGTACTTGGGAGGTCGGTGTGTAAAGAACTCAGGAGTCCCCATCTAGACTGAAACCAGGCATCACATACACCACAGTAAAAGTCCTCTTCTGCATGCAGACTGTGTGACAATGCTAGACATACAATCAGAGCTTTCTTAACCTTCCACTGGTGTGATAGCGTGTGGAGTACGGCACTGGCCATAGTTTCCTCCGTCAGATCTCAATGCAACAATTTATTTAGAGTTGAAGTGAGCTGAGCAGATTCTGGAAAGAAGGGAATCTGGGTATCTGTCCAGGCGGTGGGCTGTTAGCTGGCTTTGTGACAGCGTTTACACACAACCAAAGGCTACACTGAAGCTTCCACAGCTCACCCTGACGTGGGCCCAGACAGTAAGATGTCAACGTAACAAGATGAACGATTTCGGAAGGACCTTGATTTCAGCATAACTCTCCTTCCATTAATTACTAACTTCTGCCATGAGGTTTCATTTTCTACTTTTTCCTCTTCCTAATGACCTATGCCAAGGGATTCAACATCCTCCAGCCAAGGCTAAGGAAAATCTCCCACACCCCACCCCTTTGGTCAGGAAGGTGACAAAAGAAGCTTTGTCACACTGGCTTTCCCTGTTCACTGCCCGTCACTAGACAAACTGGACACCAGGTGGTTAATCTGCGGGCCAGCGGGGTGAAAAGAAGTTGGCAGGCGGCCTCTGCTTTGTTTATCTGTTCCCTAAGACTGTTCCAACTACATCCGGGCGACTTCTTGTAGCCTTTGTATCTAAGTAGGACAATCTTAACTGTTTACCAACTGACCGGTTTTTCTTTCTCCTAAGGTAAGCACATCCTATATTAAATTCGACCCTTACTGCTCTGTCATTTTCGATAGACAACGACAAATGTAAGGGAACAGACATGGTCTGCAGACATCAGCTGAACGGAGCCAACACCACAGATGGAAGCCATGACGACGCCGTGATGGGGTAGGATTTCCCCCATCCCCAACCCCAAGCTTTAATCATCTGCAGCAAATAAGTTGTAAATGTGCTTTTGGTGACCCCTCTTGCGTGACATCAACACACCAGAGCACGTAACATAAACAGGGAAACGGCCCTTCAAGAAACACTTGGGAAGCTTTGTGTCCATTTTATTTCCCTTGCTAAGTATCACACATGTCACTCATGTGACATAATCGCTTCCTTCAGGATGGCTTTGGGCCATTTCCAAATAATTAAATTCCACCCTCAACAACTAAAAATTTACCTTGACTGGAGTGGTTGCAAGAAAGAAGCCGCGAGCTCTGAGGGGATCCAGACGGTGAACCCCACAGCCCAGCCACAGCAACAGGAGTGAGGACGACGCAGCCTCACCCCTCCCCAAGGACAAAAGCCAGGGTGATAAGCAGCACGCCAGAGGGCAGCCTCAGGGGTGTCCCAGTGCCCTCACTACTCGCATTTTACTCCCAGGCAAGACCTGCAGATTTTCCCCTCATTTCCAAGGTGCAACATCGAACAAAGCACTAGGCAAGAAGGGGGCACCAGCGTCCAACCCAAACTGCTGGAGGCCTAGACGGCGATCAACACTGCACGCACCCACCAATGCTACAAAGGCAGGACCCTTATTCCGTTTCTTGGAATCTTCCTATGGATCTCGGATCTCTGAACTCCGCTAACACAAACGGGCCTGCAGGTTGTTGCCGGGGGCAGCTCTGTATAGGCTACTGATGGCTGATTCACACCCCCCACCCCCCACAACACCCCCTCCGGGAGAAGGGGGGAGGGCGGGCTGAAAGTTCCAACACGAACCCGCTGGCTGGTTCCCCGGGCAACCAGCCCCCACCTCGCGGTTATCTAGGGGCTTTCCAAAAACCACCTCAGGTGTGGTTCAGAGGGGGGTTGTTAAATAACAGAAGACACCCTATACTGCTCTTATCACTTAGGAAATTCCAAGGGTTTTGGGAGCTCAGCATCAGGAAAGGAAGACCAAATAGAGATCTCTTTCTTTTTTTTTATTTTTTAATTACTTCTTTTTATTTTAAGTAGTCTCCACACCCAAAGTGGGGCTCGCCCCACAACCCTGAGATCAAGAGCTGCATATGCTCTCCTGAGCCAGCCAGCTTCCCCCAAATAGACATTTCTTACAAGTCACATTGTCACTGAGGCTCCAAACAGCTTCCAAGCCCAAGGTGCTTTAAGGATAAAGACGGTCGTGTAAGTGGGCGCACACTGCTGGCGGTCAGTGCCATTCTTACCACTGACTCGGTCTCAGGAATTGGAATTAACAGAGACGTGAAGGTCTGCATTTTTCAAAGACACACATAGCCTAACTACCCCAGTTCTCTGGGAGGGGATGAGAGGAGATAATCCCACATGGAAGGTCACCCTCAGGTAGGCTAGGATATCCCCTAAGGGAAGGGGTGGCGCATGCTATCTCCTATAGGGACAGCTAGAAATGGGTGATTGGGCAAAAAAAATACAGTGCGGTCAAAAGCTAATGATGTATGAGATGCTGGCTAACTAACATAATAAAAAATACATACATACGTACATATACACACACACAGTGCAAAAACTGTCTTCTTGGGTACAGAATAGCATTGCATCTAACAAGAAAGCTTTTTAGCAGAGCGGAGCAGGCATGGACTAGGTTCAGGGCGCATGGACTGGTAAGGAAGGTGTGTTTCCCCTCAAGTGGCTTAGGCTTGGAGAGGAAGATCCAAAGGACAGCGTGACAAACAGGGCGGGAACGTCAAAAGCCTACAGCTGGGGGCGCCTGGGTGGCTCAGTGGGTTAAGCCTCTGCCTTTGGCTCAAGTCATGATCTCAGGGTCCTGGGATCAAGCCCCGCATCGGGCTCTCTGCTCGCGGGGAGCCTGCTTCCCCCTCTCTCTCTGCCTGCCTCTCTGCCTACTTGTGATCTCTGTCAAATAAACAAAATCTTTAAGAAAAAAATTTTTAAAAGCCTACAACTGGATTTGGGGAAGCATTCAGTTTAACAAGCAAACACATTTACAGTGAAAGAAAACTCGATCGTTGATTATGTGATAACACAGTGAATTACGTCACTCAGATTTTTAGAGGAAAAGGGAGACATGAAGTAGTGGTAACTCTTACCTGGGTATTGTCTGTATAATGAAAATATCTTGGCCACGAACCGATTCTTTTATTTCCACTCTTGTTTCTGAAAAATACGGAAGTTCTATAGTTTAAGAAAAGCACTTCATGATACAATAATCAGGCAGCGTTTGGAGGGAGTAGAGAGGACAGTAAACCAACATTCCGCCTAGTGTGCCAAAATGAACTCTGAATAGATCACAATGGCAAGTACATATACAGAAAATGTGACGCTAAAGGGAAAATAAGCCAAAAATACACCAACAGGCAAAAGTAACGCCAACAGGTCCACAGAACATCTCAAGGTTCAAAAAGGAAAATCCATCACCAAAATAAAGATGAGAGGCTTGGGGGAAAGTCTACAGCAAATAAAGAGGTCAACGGTTAACATCTTTCTTTCAACAGATGCCAAGGCCTCCTCTGTGTCAGGCCCTGTCCTTGGGGTCCCGAAGTGGAGGATGTGGGTCAAGCGGATGAAGATGGATCCGGGAGAGACAACACAAGGCCGAGGGCCGGCAGACTGTTCAAGCCAATGTGCCAGGAAAAAACCAAGGAGATGGGGAGCCTGGCGGGCTCGGTCAAGAGAGCAGGGAGCTCTTGATTTCAGGATCGAGAGTTCAAGCCCAGTGTTGGGCGTAGACTACTTGAAAAAAAAAAAAAAATAGGGGCGCCTGGGTGGCCCAAATGGTTCGAGGTCTGACTCTTGTTGGTGTCAGCTCAGGTGGTGATCCCATGGGTCCGGGGATAGAGCACTGCATCGGGCTTCCGGCTTGGGTTGTGGGGGCGGTTGTGGGGGGGGTCTGCTTGAGGATTCTCTCCTTCTGCCCCTCACTCCACTTCTGTACACTCTCACGTACTCTCTATTAAATAAATCTTTAAAAAAAGAAAAAGACCAGGAGAGAGAGTCATAGGGCTGGGAACAATGGCCTCATTGCAAGCTAGACTGTGGACTGTGCGCAGAGCCACAGACTAAAGGCGTAATCGGGAGTCACGGACACATATGAGATAGGATGGATGATGCGCAGTGAGTGGGCACAGCTCGGATCCCAAAGCCCTGCGTGAACGCGGAGGAGACCAGACCCTAGCCTGCAGGATTTCGGCAGCGCAAGTCAAAAACACTGACGTTTTGGGAACACCTTGGTGGAGGTGAGTAGAACGGCCTAGGGAGACTGAAAATCGAGGCAGGCAGGGGTGTTGGCAAACTCCTGCAACAGCAGGAGAGGGACAGAGGAGCAGGGGGAGGAAGGGAGAAGAGGCCCAGGGCAGTGATGGAAGGATGGAAAAAAAGGTCCGCATTTTTTTAAAAAGAGGTTTTAAAGATTATTTATTTCAGAGAGAGAGTGAGAGAGAGAGAGCACGTGTGTGGGGGGAGAGGAGAGAGAGAATCTCAAGCAGACCCGCAGCTGAGTAGGGAGCCTGAGGGAGGGCTCAACCCCAGGACCCTGAGAGCATGACCTGAGCCAAAACCACGAGTGGGAGGCTTAAGTGACCGAGCCACCCAGGCATCCTGAAAAGGGTTTTCATTAAACCATTTTCTCCTCCTCTAGTGCTTATTTTCAGGATTCCCAAACGCCATCACCATAAATTAAGATCGTTATTGCTAAACAGACCAGCTCACCTATCTGCATTCACCTTTAGGGGTTTTTTGTTTTTAAAGATTTGAGAGAGAGAGAGAGCGAGAGCGAGCGAGCGAGCGAGCAGGGGGAGGGGCAGAGGGAGAGAGAGTCTCAAGCAGACCCCGCGCACAGACTCAGGGCGAATCTCACCGCCCTGAGATCCCGACCGATGCTGGAACCAAGAGTCGGACACTCGATGGACTGAGCCACCCAGGTGCCCCCACCTTTAGGTTTTCAAATACCAACGTCTCCTGTCTTGGCAGGAGATAAAGGGTGAATTCTAGTCACCAAGTGAAAAGTTATTAAGTATAGCACCTGGCTGGCTCAGTCAGAGGAGCGTGGGATGCTTGACCTTAGGGTCACGAGTTCGAGCCTCGTATGGGGTGTAGGGGTTACTTAAATAAATAAAACTTACGAAAAAAAAAGGTACTAAGTATGGAAGCTGGCTGAAGGCTATCTGGGGGTTAATTATAACAGGCATGGAACTTATAACATCCTGGGTGCAAGTGCTTTCCACTGAACCATCCATTAAATTACCTTTCCCTTTTCAAATACCTTTTTTAAGATCCCTGAACATCATTAAGTCTTAGTAATTTATCATAGACAGTTCCACCCTAGATAGAAAAAAGGAAGCACAGGGTCATAAACCGACGCTTTCAACTGTGCAAAAATAGCTCCGAATTATTTTATATTAACTGTCTTCGTAGGGCATTATAGTCTGAAGTACGGGGCCCCACTGGGGACACTGATGATGCAGCATTCCTAGGACAATGGCCATTGACAGAGGGCTTTCCAGCATTATCGTTTAATGTTACAATTATCCACAGAAATGCAGACGGCAGCAAAAATGGGTTATCAACCCAGGAGGAGAGTCTACAAGAGACTTAGACTTGAGAGAAAAATTTGCTGATGAAAGAACTCAAAGATGGTTTTCCAATAAGTCATTACTACCTGGTACCAGATGGCTCTTGATGCCGTTTGACATAACGAGACAGGTAAATGTAAAAGGTATTCGTCAAGTGTAGCCCAATACAGAAGAAAAAACACACGGTCTACATCTCTCCTTTCTTCATTGTAAAATGACAGGACATTTGCATTATCTTGGGAAAAGGGGAAGGAGACTAAGAAAGAGAAGAAAGAAAGAAATCAAGACTAGGAGTGAAGCAGAGCGTAAGGACAGACACCTGACCTTAAAGAGAAAAATGTTTGTGTTGCGCCTTAACATCTGCCTTTTAAATGCACGTGTACTGAGTAAACACAGAGAACAAAGGATGTGTAAGATACCATTTTCGCTCACCTCCATTGGTCTCTTGATAGACCACAGATTTGCCCAATTCAGCACCAAGGCGCCTATGGGGGGGAAAAAGGCAATTAAAAATGCTCTTCAAAAAAACAACCCTCCAGTTCATACGGGTAATATTTAAAAGGCTGAAATAACGACCGGCATTCTTTCCCAAAAACAGAAAGTTCAGAAACTTAAACGCAGTAAGGACTACACACCCGCTAGCCCTCCACGGCTCCAAGTGCCCACCCTATTGTGACACACTGCTCTACCAGGGTCCGCGGTCAAAGTGTCTTGTCCAGCTCATTGTTTTCTGAATTGTAACGGTCTTGCAAAATCTTTCCCAAACCCATGGTTATCAGCACTGGTTCCAAAACCACAAGCCAGAGATAGAGGCCCCAATTGTCAAAAGCATATGGAATTCTGTGCCATTAACCAAACGCAGTGTGAATCTTGTTCGGATCCTGATTAGAACCAACCAAGTGTGAGAAGCCATTTTTGAGAGAGTGAGGGAACTACGAACAAGGACTCGATACTAAATGATATTAAAGAGGGGCGCTGGGTGGCTCAGTGGGTTAAGCCTCTGTCTTCGGCTCAGGTCGTGATCCCAGGGTCCTGGGATCGAGCCCCGCATGGGGCTCTCTGCTCAAGCAGGAAGCCTGCTTCCCCATCTCTCTTTGCCTGCTTCTCTGCCTACTTGTGATCTCGTCAAATAAATAAAATCTTTTTTTTAAATTTTTATTTATTT